TCAATTGAAGTGCTGCCTCAAAATCTAGTGCAAATGGTGTTTTGTCTAGACTGACGGAATACTTTTCGCGTTTGAATGTCAAAGTTTTCCTATAGGATCCATATTATTTAATTTACTGTTTAATAAATTACCATCATTTTTCCAGTAGACTACCAATTGGTTTTGTTCTTTTACAGATTAACGGTTGCTGGATCTTCAGATACATCTCACTGTACGTTAATGTAAGCTTTTCATTTTGTCAAATAATATTGGGGAATTTATTTTGCTTTAGCATTAAATGCTTTTTCTTTTTCCCTCTATAGAAAATCACATTTTACAATAAATTAAAAGATTTTAGATGATTGCACTCTTTTATAAATTCTTGGTCTAAAAGAGTTTTTAATTACAGAAAGGCAATTAAATTACAAAGAAGAACGGTCATTGGTAAATGTAATTGTGAAAAGCAACAAACTCGACTACAATATTAGTTATTCATCCTTAGTCTTTGCTCCCTCTCACTGTTATTGACATATGGATATGGATTTAATATCTTTGCTTGCTTTTCTATTTCTCACAATGTCTCTCTTTCTCAAAAGGATATATAAATTGTTTCCTACCCTACCTTTATCTCGCAGACTTTGTTCAACTAACAAATCTAGCTATCTCGCAGACTTTGTTCAGCTTCCTGGCTCATAATGTAATGGAAGCATGATAAAATATTAAGGGTACTTAATTATAATTAGAAATTTACTAATACATATTTTGAAAAGAATAAAGTCACGATGGTTTTATTGCTGATATTTCACAACTCATGATCCGATGATGTAGCTCATACAACAATCTATACCTCAAAACAAAACATTACTTTCATATTATTAATTCATACCCAACGGCATTGATGATTGAGATCATCCGCAGAAGAAGGGCATCGCCCGTTTTACGCGTTGATGATATACAGGAAAAATATTTGATTTATTAGCTCTATTCTGTGACAAATTGAAAATATATTATAGCAAAAAAAGTACAGTTTCTTCTTAAAGCGTCTTTAACAGGATATGAAACGTATGATCATATGATAAATGATCGATTTTCAGTACCTTTCAGATAGAGGTTGACATAAAAGTTACACTCACAATCCTAAGAGATTACGTGTATCTGTTTACCTGCTTAGATTGTATAAATGCGTGATGAAAAATAATTGGGTTACAAAAGAGCATATAATATAATACATATGGTGATTTTCCGATTTCAAACGTCACATATCACATTAATTGATATTTTTTGAAAAGGCAACGAATTATAGATGACATTCTGTGATTATAACACTTAGAGAAACAACTTAAATCTCGACAACAAGTTGGTCAGCACAGTACGGCATGAAGAATGGATAAATTAGGTATTTGATTTGAGTTAGTATCTAAATAAGTGTTCGACCAACTGTACAGTAAGTCTCGATCTCGTGAACTTTACAATGTTGCCAACGATGCGGCCAAGATATAATTCATGAATAATGTTAGATTAAAAACAACTCATGGTTACTTAGTAAATGATGAATAGAGCATTTTTAACCAATATATGAAAGGCACAATTTGGTCTAGATCTTCAGTAGTTCACACTTTTAAAGGATTGAAAAAGCACTGATAATGCTGAAAAGCAAATTTTTCCGGTGTTCATGGATGTTCTGACCATAACGCCTGAGGGCAATTTGTGACGTTCGACGTTATCTGAATGTTTTAAATCATTTAAAATAGAATATCCTGAAAAGGATAGAAGAGGGTGTTGAAGGTTTAGTGACCACAATCCTGAATGTTCAGCTACATAGTAATGTGTTATGGAAACAAAGTGTATCAAGATGACCTGGTTTTCGGTGGATTTATAAGAAAAAAACACCTTTGATGGTGACATCAATACAATGTTTGTTATCAGGCCTGTTGCCAATGTATATAGTAATTCTTCAGTATTAACGGTTACTTTGTTTTCTGGATTAGATAAATCAAAATACACGAAAGGAAAATCGTGAAGAATATGAAAGTTGTCATTGCTAACACTACCTACTATTACTTGTAATATTTAGACAACGTCAATAATCAGCGAGCGTACTTATAGTATCTTTAATTTCGTATATGATTTTATGTTTTATATGAATGTTTCTACCATTCAGATTCTTGTGTTCTTAATTATAGTGCCAACTCTATCGGTGCGATATTTGTATGATATTCGTTGTGGTTCCCTCCGTTTGTCTGTATTATTGAATCAAGCTCCCTTTTCGTGTTGTATCTTTATTGCATACTTTATAAAACATATTTCTAATAACGGTTGTTAACGATTCATTATATCGTTAAAATGTCAAAAAAGCATACAGTTTACCCTTCATTCTTTTGGTTCTCTAAACCGTTTCAACTCTGTGTTACAATTATCACCTGATTGTACTTCCGACGTTTTAAATATTTACCCAATAAAGATAGGGGCAATAAAATTTACTTAAGGTCATCAGATATAAAAGATAAACTACGAATTCTGCTTTCGAAATATACGAAAAGAAATTATCTGCTATAACTGTTGCTAAATCAATTATTGTAACATAATCTGCTATGCACAAAGCAGTGTTTGTGTAAGGAATCGAAAGTGTCGAAGGACTAATAAGTGGAAGTAGTGGTCCATTAGGTAGAAAAGATTATTCCACCTTTCACAAAAATAAAAGGTCTTATGGAAAATAGATAATTTATTTCTTACGATCGACCTAAAAAAAAGCCAATAATATGTGACATGGAATTATCGGTGATTTGATAAGCCGTCGTTGGGATTTGTGTTGTACAGAAAAAAGTGTTGGTAGTGTCAGGCGATACAAACTAAGAAGTACCTTTATCAGATACAGCATATAGATATTTCACTTCGAATATAATTTTCCCATTTTATCATAATGTTTTCATCCGTGTCATAAGATTCTTGTCCTCAAATTAATAGCTTTGTTACTTTAAGTAGAATTTCAGATTCTGTTCATACCCATGATGTAATTTATCTTCTGTTTTTCTTGTTTGTACTTAAAACAAATATTAATATACCGATCAAATGTTTATCAGTAACTTTGAAATGCCTTCAAGCGTCATTCTATTACTTCTTGAAAACAAAATAAAGTGCACCAAGTATGTTTGTCAACATTGCCTCTTCACAACATACCCAACCGCTCAACATTATGTTGTGTCAACTTTAATACAACAGTCGGTAAAGGCTCTGCAAAGCAGCGGTGAAGTGTTATGTTCTTCAATCACACTTTTACTCCCTTGAGGTTCTTCGTGTTATACTGTGTTATAACTTTAAAACTGATTCAGATCGGGTTACAATATCTCTCATTCATGGCATTTTCATTACAAACGGATACATGTTTATATGGTTTGTAAAGAAAGTTGTAACTAAAATGTGCCTTATTACAAGAACATGAGGATTGCCACCACAAAGTTGGTTGGGAAAAAAGAAAAGTGGATGATAGCAGCTCAAGCAAGGAAACCTGCTTCAAAGATTTGAAATTGTAAACAGATTTGTCTGATTTAGTATATATAATACATTTATAAATTTCATTCGATAATTCACCCAATTCATTGCTATGGGTCTGCAATTTGCGGAAACGAATTTATTAGAGATATTCAAAATCGTGCAAAACCGTATTTAGGTGTTCCTAAATCGACCAATACTGCGATTGTGTTGGAATAGTGCAGAAGGTACCCACTTTATCATTCGTATTTTTTTACTTTACCTTAAATATTGATTGATGTTCATAAGAATGCTTTCAATTCGCTAGCCACACAAATGTTATATGAATATTGAAAAATTCGATGAAAATTTCACCTGGGTTACCAAGTTTGAAAACATATTATTTCGATTCTGATTGCTGCATGTTATCTAAAAAATATGTTAGAGACAACATACAATTTTTCGCACTATTTTTGCAAACAAATAAGGATATAGCACAACAAAATGGGGAAAGTGATATTAACAACACATAAAAATGTGGGAATGATGTACAAAACCGAAGTTGGACAGGAAAATACCTATCATATAGATTATCGTATTTTCTAAGTAAATTACGTGCTAAATTTAGACGTTCACCTCGTATGCTAAAAAAATGTAGGCATAGGAGTTTTGAGAGAAAAAATAGGTAATGTGAACTAAGCCTAAAAAGTAGTTTATTGGATAGGAAATCAACTCATTTTGTGTTTATCCAGGTTACGACCATATAAGAATGAAATATTTTAATGAAGTTTTATTATTTCTTTCCTTCTGTAAAAATATTAGTCTTCCTAATGAGTAACAGCAAAATGTTAATTATAAGAAATATCTATTATTACATCAATTTGGCTTTTCTTCCTATACATTCTTTGATAACTTGAACGTATGGTGAATAATATACTTAGTTGCAGTGTAAATACTATAAATTAATGCAATAGTTATTCGAAATTAAGTACACACACATACACACACACACACACACATATATATATATATATATATATATATATATATATATATATATATATATATATATATATATATATATATATATATATATATAATACTCATTATGAAAGCTATATTTGACTTCTTTATATCATGGAGCACATTATATTTACAAGCAATGAAATATTAAAATATGGGACGGTGGTTTAAATTACTCAATAAAGTTTTAGCGGTAGTAATAGTAGTAATAGTTGCAGCAGCAGCAGTAGTAATAGTAATAGTAGTATATAAACATATTATTGATCTCGCTAAATATGGATTATGTGCGTGTGTCTGTCGTTTGGATTTTTATCGTAGCTTTAACAATTTTACAGTCATATCACTACGAAGTCTGCAGTGTAGCAATTAATAGTTATGTCTAGAACTTTAGCATCATGTCACCGATATATAGCATTATGTCCAACCCAGTCACATTATCCTGATACCAGGCCGAAAAGTTCTTACATTATCCTCTACTTGCGGAGCGTGAAACGAGGCAGCTGTTAGTACCATTTTTTAATTCTTTAGTATGACTCGTCCGGGGGTTGAACCCACGACCTCCAGTATCCGAGACGGACGCTATAACCACTATGCCCCCGGAGCTATCTGATAAATATGGTGTTATTTGTTTATTTAGTTCTTTAGTTAACCATTCGTTCAATTTATCGCTTTTTTATTTAGTACCCTTTAAATTGTTCCCATGACACACTGAAATGTATGTGAGCAACTGGACTTGAAGGATTGTTGTCAACAAAGATTAATGTGTTGGATCTTGCTCAGAAGAATCTCGTCAGTTATTATAAACAACATAAAACATTTAGAGAATATGTTAACTTTACAAATTTTCCTACGGTGTAATGAACCTGACAAGCATGGACACCAGTAATGTTTTCTTTTCAGCCATTCTCAGTGTTTTTGCAATCCTTTAAACGTCTGGTCGATTGAATATCTATGCCAGCTTTAGACATTCCTATTATTGTTTTCAAAAACAGCCACTTCATTCAATGAGTAAAACTGTGTTGTTTTAAATCAAGCATAGTATTCAGCAATTATATTTCTTTCTCTGGAATAGTTGCAGATCGAGATGTCCTATACATTTAGCCGAATATGTATTTGTGTATTTACTTAAATAAAGTAAGTAATGTATTCCTTCTTCATATTCTCCTGTTGTGACCACCTTGATGTCAAGATTTTTGATGTTTATCGCTGTGTAATAATCATTGACCGTCATCTATAAACCTTTACAGTTTCGCAAACGATCAAATAAGTGTAACATTTAATGTTTGAAATCGGCAAATCAACATATATATATTTTATTGTAGGCATTTTGTAACCCAACTATCTTTCATCACACATTAATACAATATATACATATAAATAAATACACATACTCTCGTGCAAATGTGATTATTGCTTTAATGTAAAATCCTGTTTGAAAGGCGATGAACTTTTTATCTTTGTGGAAATTATTTTTGCGATGAACACAATGCAGAACAAAGAAATAAAAATAAATCTGTCTAAGTATATGTGGGTTACAAGAGGTCAAGGGCAATTATTATAAACCCACCATAGTAACCTATTCCACAAATATCTCTGTAACGATTCTTTATTACCTACATTTAGTAGACTCCTGTTTCGATGTATTGCAATTCATATGAACAAAGGACATAAATTTCAAATCATGTTAATAAAAGCATGCATTATTTTGCATGTGTATAGACGCTTTTAGAAGAAAATGCTTTTATAATGCATTTGTATAGACGCTTTAGGAAGGAAATTTTATTCTAATACATGTATTTAGATGCTTTAAGAAAGGAAATGATATTCTTTTATATTTAAAATTTTTATAATTTAACACTGCAGCGAGCTCCAAATGTAAGCCATGTCCTTCATATCTTCATAGCGAGAAATTCCGATGCCTTTAATTTAAATGACATATCCAGGATCATTGCCGTTGGGTATGAATATAAAATTTTATTTTATGTTAAAGACTATTATATTAAATACACCATCTGTCTCTCAGTGATTGAATATTATAAACAAAACCAACGTGATTTAATTTTTTTAGGTATATGTTAGTATATTTCTAAATATATTAAGCAACTTTAGTCCTTTATGATGCTACTGTTAAATGATGAGTTAAGAATCACATCAGAATCTGAACAAAATTATGCTAGAGACATAGGTAAGGTAGCAATTTAGCTATCCATGAAGAAGGAAAAGAGTTGTGTAAAACAGTTATATAGGAAAAGACATGAAATCGATAGAGATGGAGATAAAAAAAGTAAGAGAGAGAGGGCAACAAGGAAACAGTAGTAACTTAGGTTATTGTCGAGTTTTTATTTTCTCTAATTTATGTACAGTTGTTTTTTCCTCTTGTTATTTCATTGCTTCCCTTTCCATAATTACTATATTGATTCTGATGAAGAATTACTAATGCATCGCAGTCATCTAATGATGTATTAATATTGTGAAATGAAATTTCATATTGGGGTATAATAGATTTATTTAGTGCTAACGCAGGATAGATTTCCAGCATTTATTGGACAAAATGAGAACCCATCTGGTCAGCTTACATCCAGGTACAAGCTAGAATTCTCAGAAGATCTAGCAACCGTTCATCTGTAAAATAAAATTAATAATAAGTAGTTTACAGGAGAACTGATGATAATTTGGTAAACATTAAGGTAAATAAAGTTAAATACTATGTTCCTATTTAAAACCTTTGATATTCAATAATTAAAATACTACAATTAATCTAAAACAAATGTTATATTACACGCATTAAATGGAGTCACTCAATTGATGTGTCGAAATAGATCATGTTTGGGTAATACTCGTACTTTTTAACTCAAATCCTACTTTTGATGTAAGAAGAATATCAGGTCTAATTCATCTTACAAGTGGAAATTACGATATGTTCATGTCCGACAGGTTCTAGAAAGATGTATAGAAACTAACCCTTAAAACATCTTTTCCAAGAAATGTTTTATATAAAACCTTCTTTGCTGAATTTCTCAGTGATTAAAAAAATGACCTTCATGATCATGCTTTACATGTACATAAAATTTTGATTTAATCTTTATAAAACTATTTTGTTGCTGTTGTTCTTGTTGTCCTCACCGAAGTAGTCTATGAAGTAGTAGTGATAATCTCTTTGACAATAAAAATGGTTCGAGCGCTGATGGTGGTACATGTGAGAGAAATGGTAAGCAAAACAAAAAGAGAAATAAGATCAGAAAATAATAAATACCACGGATAACGAACATTAAGTAACACATATTCAAACGTTTGATTCACTGAGAATAAAGTATATATACATACTTAGTAACCATATCCTTTAAATCCACCATATCCGCCTTTTCCACTAAATCCGCCATACCATCCGCCAAGATCACCATATCCTCCAAATCCTCCATATCCACCATATCCAAAAAATCCTTTACCATAACCTCCTAGGAAACCTCCGTAGCCTCCAAAACCTCCTAGAAAATCTCCGTACCCACCTCCGTACCCTCCATGTCCTCCCAGGAAATCACCGTAACCACCTCCGTAGCCTCCGTATCCACCATATCCTCCTAATCCACCGCTATATCCTGAAAGAGCAGCCGTAACCACGAGGCAACAAGCAACCAGCGTGACTATTATCTTCAACATTTTGACTGGATGCGGATACCTGCAAATTACTAATCTTTCATTAACGACTAATATAGTCAGTGCAATTTTTATTTTATTCATAAGCTTTCCAGTTATAATGTAAAAATGCTTCAGTCAAACGAGCCTTCCTCTCACTTAAAAATTATCAAATATAAAAATAATACTGCCAATCTAGGTTAAATGTTAAGGCGTCATTGTATCAAATAATTTCTCTGAATAAAACGATACATTTTATGATTTTAGCTTTATATGCAGTTTGTATCTTTGATTTTATTGTCACATAGGAGGGTTAATAAATTTACGAATTCTGCAGTGTGCTCATTATAATTCAGGTCTAAATCATTTAAAGATATGGTTGAAATATAAACGATATGTTATAGTGCTCTCTCGCTCTCTCTCTCTCTCTCTCTCTCTCTCTCTCTCTCTCTCTCTCTCTCTCTCTCTCTCTCTCTCTCAGACAGTGACACAAGACCTCAAATGAGCCATGTAGTATGCACTTTATGTGCCTGATTCTTTTGATATTCAAGCTTTGCTTATACATATCAAAGTGTAATCGGCCGCTTACAAAATCTGTCCTGAAAGTTGAAATTAATATAAACATAAAATAAAACATAAAGCGCGCAATTAGTGGCTGTCTTGCAATTTAGGGATGATGATCTATGCTGTATCTATGCTGCTCGCCATGAGGCCAACAGGCCATGTATATGCTGTATTTCCTCTGCTTGCTTTAAACCAAAGTAGATATAACAGCCAGACCCCAAGTTGCCAGTTCATTATCCCGCTGTGATTCTGAATGTGTACTATGTCTAAATTATTGGCTAGAAATCTGAAGAAGATCAAGCATTGCAGACTTATCTGACAGCCTGTACAACAGCACCCGCGGTATTCTCGGGAAACTACATTAAAATACCATATTGAAATACTAAATTCAATCAGGTCATTATATGACTAAAGATCGATCTCTATATACTGTGCCTACAATATTCTATTGAATTCAGTACAATACGATCATGACGACCATGACCATACAGTTCAATATACAACAAAGAATAGGGTTCAGCGCTGAAGTTTACCTTGTAATGAACCTCGGGTTCGGCAAATGCGTGTATGTGAGAAGGCTTGTCATTAGCTTCTCGGGGGTCGGTGGTTCTTTCCGGGGTTTTCCCGAGCTCTTCCTCCACCATTGATACTGTCCGCAATGAATAGTCTATCATATGATGAAAAATGGCGTTAAACCCTACAAGAACAACAACACCAACACCAACAACTTGTGATGAACCTGTGTTTTCTGATACATGTGTCATAACTAACCTGTGAGTCTTTTTGATTTTATTCTATTTAATCCGTGTGTCCTGTTACAACTGTTGAATTTAACCATTGCGGAAATAAGCATATGTTCTAATTATCCTGTATGTCTTTATGCAACTTCCCGCTATGCCAAAGTTATAGTGTTTAGCTGTAAACGAAAAATGTTAAAGACTTCCAATATACAAATTACTGAACTTGAACTTTTATTATTTTAACATTGACACTAAATAATTTCTAAAAGAAAACGTTTAAATCTCGATACTTTGATCACGATGATTAACATTAAACCATACGTGTATTGTATCACGTTCAAAATCGTTATAATTATTAGTGTTCTCCTGTGACAGAATAACCATCAACTAATTCCAAACAATTAGTTACTTTGCTAATCACACTTCTTTTATTTTAGGAACGTAATAAATGAGGTGAATCTCATGCTATTTAAGTCTATAGATAACATTATTATGCAGTATTAAAACAATAAATAAATAAATAAATCAAAAACTTTTAGAAGCTGGAATTAATTTCTACCTAGCACTAACAAGTGTACCTATCATATATTTTTAGTAGTCGTGATCTATGACAGCTAGGTATAATGCAGGTGATTTGTATGTCTGAGACTGATCATGGA